TTTTTTAGTTTGCCCAAAATTAACTGGAGACGCCGTCCGAGGCCACAAGGACCTGGTGGCACCCTAACAGTAGAGTAAGTATCGCGTGTAGTATGATTACATGTAGTACAAATATATATTTTTAAAAGTTATTCACTGCACACATTTCCTTTATTTTACAGTCAATACAGGCTGGTGGCATACAGGACAGTTCTGGAATGGATGCTGAAAGGAGAGAGATTGGGAAGACGAAACAGGAGGGTTCTTCCATCCTGTGTTGTCAGTGCCATCAGACAGTCATACCCTTCTCCATTAGGACATTATGTGGGCTTCAGAGAAGCAGAAGAGGCTTTTGGTCTTTTGAAGTACCGAGTCAGTGTTTACAAGTTGAACGTGCAAATACTAAGTCAAACACCGTTTACAAAAAAAGGGAGTTAAAAGGTAAAACAACGATGTCGGACGATTTTGAACTTGGAGGAGAAGATGAGATGGAGTTTTTCGCCCTGCCCTACCTTTTTGAACCGGAATACACAGAGGAAGAAATTAGGCAGATGGAGGAGACTGCTGCGGCGACACAAACCTCTCAAGCTTCGGGCAGACGAAGATCTAACGAGACGTGGTGGTGCACATGTGGCAAATGCCAACCATTGCCAACAGAGGAAGAATCTCAATGCTGCCACGACTGGACCATTTCAATTCCGCCATTAGAATCAGTCAGTGAGTCAGCTGGTGAGACCCTGTCTCCATCTCGCTGCATTACCGAACAAAATGGGTTTCCACCGCTACTGAGCAACAGCGTTTTAGAGGTGTTTTTTAGTTTGCCCAAAATTAACTGGAGACGCCGTCCGAGGCCACAAGGACCTGGTGGCACCCTAACAGTAGAGTAAGTATCGCGTGTAGTGTGATTACATGTAGTACAAATATATATTTTTAAAAGTTATTCACTAAACACATTTTTTTTATTTTACAGTCAATACAGGCTGGTGGCATACAGGATAGTTCTGGAATGGATGCTGAAAGGAGAGAGATTGGGAAGACGAAACAGGAGGGTTCTTCCATCCTGTGTTGTCAGTGCAATCAGACAGTCATACCCTTCTCCATCAGGACATTATGTGGGCTTCAGAGAAGCAGAAGAAGCTTTTGGTCTTTTGTAGGAATATTAATTGGAATTAGAATTACAATGTTACATTTTTGATAAACATTATAATTTGTTGTGGCTTGGGTAGTATTTGTATTTGTTACTTACTGTAATTGCTGTAGTTTTGTTACTTTCATATTCAATGTTATTTGTTGTTGTATATACATCAACACTACATACTTATTGATGTCTCACACATACATTTATTTGGAAGAATAAAACAAATTTGAGATAACTACAGTCGTTGATGTGTAATTGCAACTGATGTAGGGTACCATCAGTAAGGACCATATATTCACACTAACACAAGAAATACGTTTTTTTTTTTTACCAACGGTGTATTCTGTCGTTACCTCAATAAGGAAAAATTAGAAAAGCTATATAAAACAACATGAGTAATAATAGTAATTGTACATTAGACTCATAACATTTTTAAAGTAAATTAGTGTCCAAATCTTGATAAGCGCTTTGCAATTACTTCTTGTTTGTCAGGCCTTTGTTTTAGGGCTATGTTCTGTGGCAATGGGCGATGAGTCAAATGAGAAGAACATGTCCTTGTAAACAACGTTGGTGTCCAGCTGCCGCTGTAGAACTTTCTCAACCAGAGTCTCTCTAAATTTTTGAGTGGTTTGTTCAAAAATCACTTTGGCTAACCATTCTTTGGTATGTTTCGGGAAAACCACATTGTACCGAGGTACACCTATAATAAAAGAAAAAAGATGAAACATAACAGAATAAATTATACAAATTGTATTGATTACATTACTATAACAGAACATTCCCATTTGATTCTCAACTTTATGAACTCAAATCTATTGTCATTACCCTACATATTGAGAAATTTTTAGTAGTTATGCACAGTATGTTGTTTCCACTTACCAGTAGTGGTTGTGGCTTGCTGACGACCTACATTTTCATTGTGGTCAAGGATAGCTAGTTGTGTTCTTGCAACCATGGACACATAATGAAAATGCAGGTTCTTTGAGCAGTACTTCAGTATGACAGAATGAAACACCTACAGTTGTCCTAAAAATAAAAGAAAAATGTGTATCCGGTGTACCTACATGAACATGTGTATATAACTAACTTTACAGTGTGTTTGAAAAGAGCCATTTGCCTCAAATCCTTTAGAAGTCCTTTGTCCAGGACAAGACTCTGTAGTGTGTGAGTCTTTTCCAAGCCATTTTTTTCTTCGTTGCTGTTCCGGACTGAGATCATTGTGTCCACATTTTTTCGGCTTTCCTTCTTCAATCCAACTGTGCACACCTGTAATGTGAAAAAGAATGGACTTCCAATTCTCGATCAGTTCCTGTATAAATACATGAATACACAAAAAAGTAATTATTATAATAATGTATGAATTTTTAAACATAGAAAAATAGATGTTTGTGGTCCAGCAACCCCAATATTTAAAACCTTACAAGAACACAATTTAGCTCCCTATAAAGAACAAAGTCTAACAAACCATAGTAATTTATTTATTTTTTTATTTTTTTTACAAAAAATGCAGACTGTGTCCTGTTGTGGTTCAGGGACTCATATATAACATTAGTACAGTATAAAGGCTATTATGTCTACGTGACGCCCCCAAAAAGATAACACAAGTGTGTGTGTGTATATATTAAGAAATTAAAGTTAATATTAAAACATTAAAGAACTTACGTCAGGGTCACCTCCACAAGTTGCAGAGCAATACCATAGATGGTTGCAAATACTTCGTATCCATGGCTGCAGCTCTCGATTGTCCTTGTATCTTGACATGGAGCACAACTTTTTGGAAAGTCCTGAAAAACAATAATTTTAATTATCAAACAATGAAGAAGGAGTGACAATATAGTGCATACCAAGGTTAATTTAGTACTTCACGGTTTATTGTAGCAATTTTTTGATCCATGCAAACAACACATTTTATATTCCTACATAGGAATAAATAAGCTTTGAACTATGCTGCTTTTTGGATAATTCATGATTAATCTATCTCTCTCTCTCTCTCTCTATATATATATATATATAAAATTGAACTTGAGTAGTTTTACTAAGGGCATCCATCTCACATGAAATGTAACTATGTCAAACATATTCTACCTGCCTTCCTGATATAAATTACTATACATTTGATATGGTAATTAATACTGAGACACTAATTTGGGCAAAGAGCACTAATGACTTGTTTAAGACTTGAATCTTAAAGCTGAAGACTTGCAACTCGACTTGGACTTGCCTGTCTTGACTCGGGACTTGACTTGGGACTTGTCTGTCTTGACTCGGGACTTGACTCGAGACTTGAATGCAAAGACTCGAGACTTACTTGTGACTTGCAAAACAATGACTTGGTCCCACCTCTGTATATATATATATATATATATAGCAGTATTAATTTGTTGTGAGACAGTTACCTTTGACTACATGCCAAATATCAAATTTGTGGTGAATGTTGGGATATTCTACACGCATAATCTTTCTAATAGATGGCGATCTGTCAGTGGTCAGCACATCTATTTTGATTTCTTGCTCTTGTAGTGTGTTCACAGCCCTCTTGAAACCTACTGGCTCCATGGCCACAGAACTAGATGCTTCTGTAACCTGAAATGCAATACCATGCTAGATAAACAAGGTGTGTGTGTATTGTCGTTGATGTTCAAAATAACCAACATATTTTATTAAGTATTATTAAAAGCATTTTATATTGATCATAACATTGCATAAACTGCCAGTAATTTTACTGTACTTCACTTTAAAATACTGAACACTTACTAAGGTTACTTATAATTAATAACATATGGGATGTAGAATTATGTCATGTAAACTGACCTGCACCAACTCAAAGTGAACAATCTTCTCTGTTGTGTCATCCATTAAACTGTAAGTGTTGTATTTCGCCGAAAATCCAGGGCTAAAAGAACCACAAGTACAACACAATTCAGTATTGTTAAAATTTTCTAAAATTGTCCAAAAAATTTTATAATAACTACATTTACTTGCCTGTCTGACCTCCCATCTCCGGACAAATGAACTGGATCATGGAGTTCAGTTTGCAAATGTAAGTCATTAATTGCTGCTTTCTGTTGTTCTTGATATTCTTCATTAATGACTGGAATAAGATAACATTGCAAAAACTGCCAGTAATGTTACTGTACTTCACTTTAAAATACTGAACACTTACTAAGGTTACTTATAATTAATAACATACGGGATGTAGAATTATGTCATGTAAACTGACCTGCACCAACTCAAAGTGAGCAATCTTGTCTGTTGTGTCATCCATTAAACTGTAAGTGTTGTATTTCGCCGAAAATCCAGGGCTAAAAGAAGCACAAGTACAAAACATTTCAGTATTGTTAATTTTCTAAAATTGTCCAAAAAAATTAATAACTACATTTACTTGCCTGTCTGACCTCCCATCTCCGGACAAATGAACTGGATCATGGAGTTCAGTTTGCAAATGTAAGTCATTAATTGCTGCTTTCTGTTGTTCTTGATATTCTTCATTAATGACTGGAATAAGGTAGGAAGACTTAATGTCATGGTAAGTGGTTTTATGGGGTATTTGAAGGTTGAGCAAAGTGGCCCAATCAGTGATGTCTGTATATGTTGCTCCAGTGAATAGTGTGCATGCAGAAACAAGAAGATTATTAGCGGGTATTCCCCTAATATCAGTGCATGAACTCCACTTTCCCTTGTGTTTTTTTTCACATTCCCAGTGAACACGGAGAACACTTCCCACAGTTGCTTTTCTGGTCTTTGTTATTACTGATCCACATTCTTGATATGTTTTGAAAAGCTCCATGACATTGGGCTCGTTGACAATCCATTTTATCTGTTTCCAATGCATTTCACATTCCTCATCTTCTAGCTTGGGGCAGACGTTGATGTTGAACTCTAAGATCTAACTAAGAAACTAAGATCTTTCTTGTCCGATGGAGGATCTATGGAAAGCATGCTAACATCAAGCTCCAAACTTTCTTCAAATTGCTCTTCCGTCTGTTCTGGTTGATTATACACGGGAGGCTGTGAAATTACATGGATTAAAGTTGGTTTATAATATAACTGAATATAAATTAGTAATGTAAATAGTAGATTTAATACATTTATTACAGTATATCTGTGCATTTTTAAGGATACAACATCACCAAATTATTAAATACTACATTTTTAGAAATTAATTTATCAATGTATAACACAAAAGCATAATTGACCATAATTTCACTTTGTTAACTGGTCACAAATGATGGTACTTACAGACTGGTGGGAGTGTATTGCAGGGAGGGCATAATATGTCCCAGATGTTGAGGGTTTTGTCCTCTTTCCAACACTTTCAGGACTTGTGAGCACTAAACAAAGTTTAGACTGAGCATCTGCAAACTGTCTCGTGGTAGCTCCTGGACCAGAGTCCTGATGCTTTGCTGGTGTTGACTGTGGAACATTAGCCAAAAACACTCCTGCTCCCTGGACCTCCAGCTCAGCGTCA